CACACCAACCTAGGTTCAATACTCTTAATGTACCTTCTACAGAGGGCCCACAGAAATGGAAATAGCATGCAGTGGGTAGAATGGGGGGAGGGTGGTAAATCAGGCCTTTTCACAAACAACCGAAGACTTTCGGAGTTAAGTTACAAAGCATGTAAAACAGCGAGTGGGACAGCCTGGTGAACAGAGCCACATTTTGTCATGGCCCAGAAAGAACAACTAGCTGCTTTTGGTCCCGAGTTACTATTGGCCAAGAAAACGTAGCAAGCCAATGTATACAAGCAAGGGAGAGCAAGAGACAGGTGGAACAAACCAATGCAGACAATGGGGGGCTTCCTCCCTCCCCCTTTTAATCACAGAGGCCTGTGAAGAAGGTGGCGTATCCGAGTGTTCGGCCGCACACTGAAAGATTCGGTGTTCCAGCAATACGCCGCATCAGCACCAAAACACCGGCTGTCGGACTGGACACAGTGTGAGAAAGCGGAGCCTGGTGCAGCCACCTGGCAGGGTGACGCGGCCCGTGGTGAGCTCGTGGTGAGCCCGTGGTGAGCCCACCCGCTGATGTCTAGAGCAGAGAAGCAGGATGTGAAAGACAGACGGCAGAAGAATGGGACGATCATGTGTCCCTCAGCGCAACTTCCACAGCGAGCAGGTAGACCCGGCCCATCGGATGTTTATGATCACGCTAACGTGTGAATGTTTTATTTTGCTTACGTTTTTTTTTTTGGGGGGGGCAGGGGTTTTAAGGAACGATGGGGTCATTGCCCTCGCGTGACGCCTCACAAGGACCAGCACAAACTGGCCTGCGAGCATCAACTGCAGGTCACGCAAATGCCACGTTTGGCCTCGCTCATCGGGGACGGTATATTAGCGGATGGAGGGCCCTCATCCGCCTGCGCGACCAGAAGGGCCGTCTGTCACTAAGGGGGAAGGCGGCCATTAATAACGGCCCGTAACCATCCGTGAATAAATAATCCAGTGCGATTTAATTAGTGCCCCCCCTGGCATTGGTACACGGAGGCGTTGGGGGCAGCTATGGTCCTCTGCATCACAGCACCACCGCCCCAGGGCCCCCTCCCCCACAGAGCCTCACCAACCTTTCATAACCTTCAAAAAAGGTGGGGGGGGGGGGAAGAATCACTGTGCTGAGAATGATGGGAGAAGGGGGGGGGCGGAGTCAAAGACCACAAGCGAATCATCCCCTGTTCAGATCCTCCAGTAGCTTCCAAATCCCCAAAGTCACATGGCACAAATGAAACCAATACATGAACAGAAAGTAAAAGCTCTACAAGATCAGGCTGTGCACTATGGGCCAAACTTAGGCCAGGAAGCAGTATTTAACGCGTGCACAGATGCTGAAGTAAGCACTCTGTGCTCACAGCACATGATGGCTGGTGCAGATTGACAGAGAGAAAGCCTGACAGTCATCTGTCTGGATAAAGCCTATTAGGGGACAGAAACCCTGAGCATCACGCTTCTTCAGTGAGACACCGGGTGGGGGACAAAAGCCCCCCGAGGAATTAGGGCCATCTCATAATTACTTACCCTCCATGTCACGCCCCTGCTGCGCGCCCATGCGTGCGATTTTCCACTCTCCGTTAAAAACAGGCAAGCGGCACGTTTAGTGGTGGGATGTGAATGTTCATCTCTGGTGGCTGTAATCCCACCAGGTCTTCTCAGATTGGCCCTTTCATGTGACGATTTATAAAAGGTGCTTACAGAAAGCTGCCTCCGCACCCCAGGTTTTAATTGCCCCGAGTCACAACGCAGCATTTCCAAGCATGATTCTGGTTTGATGCAACACGCCCCAAAGCCACTAAAGTAAAACAGACCAGGGATATTCTGCTGATGTCAGATGAGTCGGTAACGTCTTTAAGACAAAATCTGAACATAGAAATGTACAACACATATTCTCTGGGGCAGTGACAAGTGAAGACATAGAATGCTATTTCCTTGCCCAACACTGGGGTAAACTGACAGTCATGTAGGCTCAAATACACACACACACACACACGCTGACTCGCAGCGGATTCTGATTTAACAGGGCACATAAAAAACAGACACACAGACAACCCTATTCTCTCTCGACTGCCTGAGACAGGGGAAATAAATAAAACAACAACAATTACAGTGTCGACAGGACAATGGCAGAAATTGCCCTGAATCACTGCGAGTCAGTAATTACAGAGGCCCAAACGAGGCAAACAAAGACAGCTCCGGACGACGGGAACGGAAGGCCACATCGTTTGGCAGACCCTCGCTGGTTACCCATCGACACAAGTCCACGACCCTGCCACTCACGGCAAGGACCACTCCGCCCTCAGAGAGGCGACGCATCACGACCGCTACGGATGTGGAACCGGCGGCACTTCTGGGCGAGCTACTTCCCTACGTTAACCTGCTGTATTTAAATATGGCAGTGACATTGAGGAATGGACCCCGCTCTCCGCCGCTCCGGCGACTCCCTCTCCCTCTTCATGGTCCTTCTGTCAACCGCTCACCATCACCAAGTCCTCAGCTTCTCGCTGGAGTCCGGATGTTACGCAAGACTGGGCCGGCCGATATCAGGACGGGACGACTCTGAAGGAAGTCCTCCCCTGCAGCATTCTGAGTCACGATGAAGACATGACAGGGCTGAGACACAGGGCACAGCTCTTAAAGCGCTGCAGGGCCTTCATAGGAAATGGGTTTCCTCACAAACTTACCACATCCACATTGCTTAACGGGACAGACCGAAAAGTCACGCATCCACAAGTCCAAAACGAGCAACATCTACAAAACGATGTACGCACCAAAACCATCATATTATATGCTTACCATTTCCATATGACATTACACAAACGGTATGAACAGTGAAAAAATGAATAGTGCATATCGTCTGATTTTTAACTTTGAAATGCAGAAAGTAAAAGAGCTATATGTACCAAGAATCACATGCAGCCCAAGACCGCCTAGGACTGCAGGATAGACTGGACGTCCCGAGTCGCCCCCAAGCTGACTCTACATTAGAAACGGCTCCCCCAAAACTTCAGTACTACTCCGCTGACACGTTTGCAAATGTGCAACCGCACGCCATGTCAACACACATAGGGAATAACCTCTAGCTGCCATTAGAGTACATCTGTAATTAGAGGAACAATTCCCATCTGGAGAGAAGCACCTTCAAATTAATCTGCAGAGATCGACATGAGCAGGACCAGAAACTGCTGAAGGAAGTGTGTGAGCCGACGACTAATTGTGCTTAAAAAAAAATAGAGAAAAAAATGCTTAAAATAGGATGAACTGTGCAACCCTCATCCCTTTACCCCCAGAATGAAACCTTTCAGATGGGACCTTGTCCAAGCCCTGATTGATTGCTACCCCCGGAGCGGTTACAGCCCTCATTCGCCTGTAACTGCAAACTTAAAATAAAAGCCGTCAAAGGAACATCCAGAACCACGTATTATCGATTTAACACTAACTACTGAACAATAAGCGATATATTTACATCAGGAGGGGGCGCAGCTTAATCCGTCCTGGGGAAAAAAAAAATCTATTAACCATAACAAACTATACAATACTGCGAGGTATTTTAAAGGAGGGTGAAAGAACAAAGGGCACGAATTAATGGTGCATAAGTAAGGTAATCTGCCTGTCACGGATGCTGACATTGTGCGACAGGGAAAGGACGGGACACGCGGGCCGTGACATTATGGGGGTTCCGGCCTGCAGCCGGCAGCAGCGACGATCACGTTTTAAAGCCCAGGCACAGACTACAAGATGCTTGCTTTCATCTGTAGAAACAAAGGGGGATCATGCAATTTAATCGAGAGAGGGACCGAGATAGCGGTCTCCCCCCCTCCACCCCCCTCCCGTATATGGCATCGTAGAAATCACGGCCGTCCTTCAGAAAAGCGGTTCCCAAGATGAAATCACAAGGTAAGACCGAGCAGAGACATATGTAGGGCGAAGGAGTTGGCAATGCCTGCAATTAAAACGGTGGCTATTTGCGTAATAATAACTGACACCAGTGACATCTGCGAGTGCAGTTCCGTCCGGACAGACCCCGATCGGAGATTGCATGGCATTGCACAATTTCTTCTCCTCCTTCTCCTCTTCCTCCTGCACAAATCACGACATTTCTAGCTGAACCGACAGCGAACAGCGGCATGTCAAGGGCGTAAGACTCCGCAAAGCACAGCCAGAGAGTCCGCTCCCGTTAACTTTGAATGCACCCACGCCGGCCAATATACTATACATGTTAAATATAAGACAAATACTCCTGCAGCCACCAGCCAAATGGTGCTGCCTGTTACCATCCCAGCGTGCTAAATCAGGTTTAATGAAGCGACGCTTATTCTCCTAGGATAACCCTGGTTCCCTTAGCCGGGCACTAATCCTGCCAGTTACTCCTGGTAAGGCTTTAAAAAGCGCTCCTGCGGAGATCGGCTGCTAAGCATCGGCCGCCTCGGTTCGCCAAAACGTCTCCGCGATCCTACCTCATCGTCAGCCGGCCGCAGTGAATGATCCTGCCCGTTGTCTTAGCAAAAGCCGAGCGCTGGAGGAAAGTCGAGCAGCCGTCCGTGCGATCCCGTCCCTTTCTCGGATGGATCCGTTTTTCTCATTGAACCTTCTTACTGCTACGCAACCGCCGTACGAACCCCCCTTAAGTCACGCCTTCCGAGAGCCATGTTAGCGCTGTTTCGCTTCGAGCCTCTTATCTGATCTAAGATCAGTCTACACACAATCAAACAGTGCCGTCACTATTATAAGCTTACAGGTCAAACTGATCGCACATCAGTTGCTAAAGGAGTAATATATCAGTCCCGTTGCGTTAAGATGATTGACAGTTGTATCAACCAATAGAATTTGACAACTGTGGCCTCAAAATAGTGACATGGAGTTTATCCAATCGCGTTTCAGATTAATGAAATTGACGTGTTAAAAAGCAAATAGCAGCGAGTATATACGCATTTTTTATGCCAAGGTGTAACTAATGTTGTTGAAATGTACGTTAACTATGCGAGAAAGTGAGATTATCATCCATCCATCCATCAATCCATCTTTATTATGGCAGCCTTCACAGTGAATCCTATAGTCTTTGCCAGTTGACACAGGGCATAGGACTGAGGTACAGCCTGGATGAGACACAAGTGTAAGATTGCCAGATACTCATAATTCTAAAAACTGTTTTAATGGAATTTCCGTACCTATCAGCAGCATATATCCATATCGTTCTGTTTTGCAAATTTCCATTTTATCTAAGATCAAAAAACGGAAACATGCCATTTAAACGTGGATTAGCAAATTATACTTAAAATACGTTTTGAATAGCATTTTTTAATTATATCGATCTTGCAATTTAAGTAAGCCTACCTTAAATTGTAAATATTATTAAAGATTTTCTTTTGAAGTTAAGCGTATTACATTCACACTTTATTCAAAGATTTGTCACGCTGTCCTGTGTTGCACGAGCCCCAGTATGCTAATTGGTACTGGGTTATTCCCCAGTTATTCCACACACACAGGAGGATTTTTTTCAAAATCCCAGCAGTGTCTTAGCAACCCCACATTCCGACACAGGCTTGGGCCAGCTAATAAATCAAAAACAAATACGACCCACGGGGCTTTTCCTGGGAGTGACTGCATGCACAGCTCTGATTTTAGCATAGCTAATCTCCTTCTGCATTTCTGTTACAAAAAAACCTTCCATATAAGTGGTGGATTTTGTAAAATTCTAACACTGCGTAATATACGGTATGCTCGAGGAATTTTGGGGTCTTGTTTCCAGATTAATAGAGAGGCTACGTACATATTCTGCCATGTTCAAAGCAGAATGGTCCTTAGAATGGCAGAGTGCTTCTTAATCCTGGTCTTAGGCAGGTTTTTCTTTAAACCAAGACCAATGCTGTACAAGAGGTATAATTCCACTTGCATGCAGGTATGGCTGATGTCAGTGACCCCCCCCCCCCCCCCCCCCACAACTATGTACTGGATAATTTAGTACAAGATAGATGGATACTTGCTAGATTTGTCTAGTTTTACTCTCTAAACCAAAGATTTACTTAATTACTGTTAAGTAGAATTATTGAGCTATCTCTCTCTCTCTCTCTCTATCTCTCTCTCTTTCTTTCTGATGACTCAGCTGTAACAGTGCAAATAAACACCCTCTACCCATTTCCCAACTGTTTATCCAGTCCAGGATCACAACAATGGCCTAAAAACCTCCCAGAGACCGCATAAGCCTCCAGACAGGGGTAAAAGATGCTGATCCATATGCACTCTGCGCAATTTAGAAACGCCAGTTAGCCAAACTGCATGTCATGGCACCCAGGGAAACCCTGTGACACATACTGAGCACAAGCACGCACACAAGGGCAGGATTTAAAGTCCCAAGTATGGACAAGTGAGGCAACAGTGCTACCTGTTATGCTGCCATGTCACCCGCAAATAACCAACATCAAAAAACAATTCACGCTTTCTGTATTTTAATTCCTTTTCATCATGCATTTACACCTGCAAGATCTTTTGAAAATGTTTTAAGAAATCACAGTCAAGTAGCCTGTTAATCAAGCCCTAGAGATAAAGCGTAACAAATGCAGCGACTCCGCAAAGTCAGGACTAAATCCCTCCAGGTATAATCTAACACTTCAAGTTTAAAAATGAGAAGGACTTTCAGCCTGTTTTCTCTCCCTAGGTGGATTATTCCGGTTTGTACTGGACCTGACTCAGAACCTCAGAATCCAGACTGAGAGCACCACCCGCAGGATGGAATCTGATATTGACTTTCCGAACACAGGTAATGTAAATACTGAAATTGCACTAAAATAATTCGTCTCACTAGGTAAAATGCCAAGCCCTGCAATGAGAAGAACTCTTAACTTTTCCAAGAACCACAATGATTTTGCAGCTGACGTGTTTTGAAACATACATTTTAGATTGTATTAGGCTTTATATTGAAGCCATTTTTGAAACCCATTGGTAAATATTTGTATAATAATTATAATAATAATGACAATGACTGGAGTTCTGCTTTATTTTTTACACTTGCACCATTTTCCCTCTGCTGGAGTCTGGGAAAGCAAATATTTAATAGTCCTATACGTCCTTGGAGTGCCAAAGTTCATAAGTCTTCACTGTATATTTGTGTTTGTTTACAGTGTGTGTGTGTGTGTGTGTGTGTGTGTGTGTGTATAGATAAAATTGCCCTGCCTGCCTGTCCACAGCATTCTCTCAGGATACTTGCCTAAGTAGATATGGTCTGGGCTCTGGCGATTCTCTGTGGCCTTCTCTCCTTCACTTCTGTGGCTCGTTCAGCACCTCTGGAGAACGTCTCTCAGGATGACCCAGAGGTGCAGGCCTGCCTCAGCTTCGCCCTGCATAGCTTCAACTTCTTCAGCAAAGAGCTGCACCTCTACACCGTCACTAAGATCCACTCCGTGAAGAGGGCCGTGAGTCAGATTTTAATAATCTTCATGCACAATCAGCATAATAATAAGTACTCTGCTACTATATATTTATATTTCCATCTATAATTTACATGAAAATTATAAGATCCATCCTGATTTTGGAAATTATATATACAAATATAATTGCCTCAAATTACTGGAAAACCACTTGTTTTGCAATAGAACTTCACAAGAGATAATGATATATCTCTAAAGGACCCTGACATTGTTTGCTCATGTCCGTAACAACATTCTGTGCAGGGTTTGTGTCACAGGCCATTTGTGTCACAGCAAACAACCATGTCCTCTCTGAAAACTCCCCAAAAATGTGTAGAGAACTAATTCACTGTGTATAGCATGTTATAAATCGTTTTGTTTTTTTTGTGACTGCACACTAAAAATATTTAAGCTTCTAAAATCAGCAGACATATAGTTTGACATTTAATCGCTCCATTTATTCTTTGCTGTGTAAGCAAGGAAAATGTAAACTAATACTAAACATTATTTCTCAGAATATCGGTGGGGGCCAGTATCACATAACCACGGAAATCACAAAATCCCAGTGCAAGAAGGTTTTGGAGGAGAATAAGGACTCCTGTCAGACACAGATGTCTCCTGAAAACAAGGTACCCTGTGTTATTTAAACGAAAAAAGCAATGGGCCCGCCTTCTTCTTCTCTTCTGCAGTTAAACTGTTAACTTAAGAATCAGAAGGTAGTATATTACCTCCAAATTCATCAAACTACATTCACATTCCTGAGAATATACTGCGGATATAACATGTCTTACATAACTTATGCGGACAGTACATACCTGCCCTGAGTAATGAATTTGGTTTGTGGTAAGTTCAAAATATAGATGTGAATGTAGAAAGTATGAAACCATTATAGCATGTGTGTGTTACTGAGATTGATAAACACAACTCAGACACCATGTAATATGGTGTCGCTATATGATTACATCAGAGCTCCCCAACTAGTGGCCTCAAAATACTATTTAATCCAGACCATGTGATCAATCCCCATTCCCCATTTTTTCAAGGGCAATGACTGTTGTTGATGGAATTTGACCCTCTAGTAAAAATAATTGGGGACTGCTGGTTTTCATGGTATTTTATGTTTCCATAGTTCAGGTACATTGAATACTAGCAGTGATAATGCATTAAGACCCAGGTATTATATACTGTTACATTGTTCATCTTCTGCCTGTGTGCATTATCTGCCCTGTGCCATGTATTTTGATTAGTTCTTTCATTTCTCTTTTCATTATACATGCTTTAATTGTGTTGGATCGCTTCTGTTTGGCTGTAGTTCACCCTTTTCCTGCCGTGTGCCGCCCCCTTCTGTCTGACAGGTGTTACACTGTGAGTTTGTGGTTTTGAGCGCTCCGTGGAAGAAGCAGCGCACTTTGATCCGGAGCTCCTGTACCCCCGAGGCCAACACCACATACGATTCACAGTGACACAAAGCTCTTTCATTGTGGATTATACCAAAGGCCAACCTGTCTCAGAATGCCTCTGGTGATAATGATAAATATTCCCTGCTTTTGTTCTGTGGAAATTAATCTCTGGAATACATGTTACGTCAAATTAAAATGAACAGAAATATGACTCCTGAGGTTTTTTCCCAACAATGCTATAAGCAAAACAAGCTTGAGAACATATTTTATTGAGCTTTCTGATATTTTTTGTAGCACTGTAAGAAATCTATGTGTATTCCAAGCTCACAGATCAGTTGTTCATAGGTCCTTCGTCCTTGTCCTGTCCTATATTAGATTGTTCCACTGGAAGGAGTTGCCGTTTCAGAACACGTCTCTGTCTGCACTTTGAACAGAAATCCTTGGTGGCTTCTTTATATTTATATACCTTTGGAACATTTCACACTCATAATCAGTACTTTGCGGTTCATAGTTCTTGGTTTTTTCTGTGACCTACAACGAAGACGTAAGGATTTCACAAGGTCCTCCTAGAGGAAAATTGAACGTCACAGTTGGGTGGCAGGAGAGAGACAAACTAAACTAGGTCTTTATTGAAGTTGCATCTTGAATATGATGTTCATCGTAATCTTTGCTACTGGAAGGAGAACATTATCATGGGTAGGCAGGAGAATTAATGCCCAAAAGGAACTATTATTTTACCTTTGAGCAAGTTCTTAAAATTCTTCACTTAAGACATACAACTATATAAATAGATGATTTTGAACGTTCTACTAATTGACAATAAATGTAAATCTTATAAAAGTATATCTAAGGAATGCTTCTAGCTACTCTACTTACAGTTGTCTGTAAATTCCAACTTGTTAGTCTTGCTAAAAAATAATCCCCCATACTCTCCCGCTGGGTTAAATCACTAACACGCCCTCAGATACTTACCAAAGGAATGTACTATTGCAATTTATTGTGTCATTCATCTATTTCAACCATGTCCTGCACCTCCTCCGCCTGCTCCATGCACCCCTTGCAACAGGCTGATTTGTGGATCAGGCAGCATTTGTCAAGTTGTCTATCCATCACAACAGAGGAAAACGCTCGTCTCTTAGCATTTACTTTCCAAACCCTCTTAACCTGCAATTGGGACACATGAGGAAGAACTGCAATGCAAACATAACCCCTTGCATCACTGTGGTCCTTGAAGTATTCGAAAGAGATCCTACTCCGAAAAATTTTACTGTTGTGGATGGTGAACTAGCTGGCAGCTTTCCAGACTATGAGTCAGTTATGTCTTTATCGTGCCTCCGGGAGGTTGATATTTTTGGAGGCTTGATTAATATGCTGGGCTAAATATTCACTTAAGAATCCAAATGTAATCGCAGCATTGCTAGGGTCCCAGAAGAGTTTGCCATCCCACACATTAAGAAAAGTAATAAACCATCATCTGTTTGGATTGTAGGCCATTCACTCAAAATGCCACACACCAGAGGAGGCCTAGTGCCGCTGTAAACTGTCATATAATTTGAAGGGGATTATCCACAAGTTATCTGGGAAAAAGTACTTAACTAAAACTCATCTAGTTCACTACTTCTTCTCCAATGTACTCCTTGTCCAGAATAAACATTTTGCCTTTTTTCAATCCTTGCCCATACATAATGAGTACTATATATATATATATATATATACATACATACACACACACACACACACACACACACACAAAGTTAAGCACCCAGACAGAGTGTTGGAAATGAAATTAATCTGCACGTGGTCAAAGGTCATGTGACTGTTTTGCGATGATTATAATATCTTGGCAGTATGGGCACACAGCTGGTCCCATGTTAGCAGAGTGTGGCGCCTCCCCGGGCCTGGATACATGCGGCGATACAATGCGGAAGGGAGTCGCACAGCCGTTGTATCCTCTTCTGTGGCAAGTCGGCCCACAGCTGTCGTAACTGGCCCTCGAGATCCTGCAGATTGGCACTGGGTCTGAGTTGACGTCTGAGGAGATCCCACACATGCTCGATTGGGCAAAGATTGTGGAACCTGGCTGGCCACGGGAGGATCTCAACGTGACGCAGGCAGTCCGTAGCCACACGTGCCATGTGTGGGAGGGCGTTGTCTTGTTCAAAGACTGTGCCAGGGTGCTGTCTCAGGAGGGGTAAGACACGTGGACGCAGGATGTCACTGACATAGCGCTGTGCCGTAAAGGTCCCCGGAATGACTACCATAGAAGTTAAACCCTATAGCTCCCCACACCATGATGTCAGGTGTGTCACTCCATAACATTTGCAGAATTGGTCCTCTCCCTTCAGTGCCGCCATACGTGCACATGATGGTCATCCGTGGTGTTGCAGAACCGAGATTCATCGCTGAACACTTCACTGGTCATCAGATCATGCCTCCACTCCATACGCAGCCATTTCTGTGCTGGTGTTAATGGCAGCCTTTGCATGACACGATGAACCTGTAGTCCGGCTGATGCCAGTCATTGAGACATGGTGTGGGATGACACGGGGTGTTGTAGAGAGTCCAATACCTGTGTCAGGTGCTGATGTCAGGGGGTTCTGTAATGCTTGGTGCACAATATGATGATCCCCCGCTTGGTGTGGTCTGTCTTGGGCGACCGGAACCTTCCTGACGTGTGTGGGTGCTCTCACGTGCCCGTTGATTCCAAAATCGGACGACTGTGACATCTGCATGCCCCACATGCTGGGCAATTGCACAATATGACCACCAGGCCTCATGCAAACCCACAATGTGACCCCTATCAAACTCCATCAAGTGCTGGTAATGATGTCTAATGCGTCTACAAGGCATCCTCTGTGTCTGGTGACTAGACGTACCAGCTCCTGGAAAATCTAATCATTTACATACTCATCGCTGGTCTGCACCAAATCAGATCATTACTTCTTTTTTTTTCACTGAGTGTTGGTGTGTGTGTGTATACATATATATGTGGAGCCTCCACGATAGGTTTTGGTTTTGGTTTTCCCCCCCGCGATCCTGAATAGAATAACAGGTTAAAATAGATTGATCAAAATAATTCCTGCCTACATAACATTCTGCCTTCATTGACATTGTTTTCCTCCAGGGACTTTAAAGCAAAGCTTGTCCTGCACAGGATTGGCAGAACCTATGAGTGTAAGGCAGGGAACAACCCAGGACAGGGCACAATGCAGGGAACAACCCAGGACAGGGCACAATGCAGGGAACAACCCAAGACAGGGCACAATGCAGGGAACAACCCAGGACAGGGCACAATGAAGGGAACAACCCAGGACAGGGCACAATGCAGGGAACAACCCAAGACAGGGCACAATGCAGGGAACAACCCAGGACAGGGCACAATGCAGGGAACAACCCAGGACAGGGCACACACAGACACCATGCAAATCTGCATTACCCCAATTCACCTCAGCGTGTTTTTTGGACTGTGGGGAGTGGGTGGGGGAACCGGAGTACCCCAAGGAAACCCCACGATGACCTGTTTTTTTAAAACAAATCATTGCAAATAGTATATTTTCTAGTACAGTATATTTATGTGAACATGCATTTTACCATTTTTGCATCCTCTTTCCCAAGAAATCTTCTCTTTAGGGTTAAAATTGGCATTAAATATGTCTGTCTGGCACAAGTATAATTTCAGGGCGGCGTCAGGTGTCTTATTAATAATCGTCCCTAATCGCTCTTGACAGAGATCGTGAAGGTCACTTCTCTGGCACTCCCCTACGTACTTAGGGAAGGGACATCGTTTAAGGAATGCACAATATTAATCGTCTCGTTTGTACTTCTCTTTACATTTTACAACCCCCGGCCCCCACGCCACCCCTGCTCTCGCTCTGCCTCGTCCATCATCCGGGACGGAATCCCAGGGAGCGCTTTGCGTTCCGCAGACACTCCCGATCGAGGTGCTCTCCTCCTTATACTCCGAAAATCACAACCTGCATTTATGCCTGTTCACACGCAGAGGATCTACAGGTGTGCTGTTAAACTCACCTTAGCACTGATATTCGCTATCATGCTACATAATGCCGTCGTATCAAAAGAACCAGTATGTTCCTGACAACTAAATCAAAGAACTACACAATAGTGAGTGACACATTCAATACGTATATATTATACAATTAGTGTTAAGTATAACTTGTGAATGAGAACAAGTTTCCTGTTAAATATGCTGATCATGTAATACCAGGAACCTGGTGCACTGCCAGAACCACAGTTCAGTTCTGAACGACTATCAAATAACATAGTAATATGACAGTTTTTAACAGCTTAAAAGGTGCAGCCTGCTCGCAAACCTCCAGGCTTGCAGGCAAGGGCTTGTCGACGAAGGATTTGCTACAACGGCGACAGGAACAGGGTTTGGAACAAGTGCTGTCGCTTGTCTTCCTAACAATCAGTGACTCTGAGCTCAGCGCGTATGCTTGTGACTGTCCCGTAAGACAGCAGAACACATTCTGGCTTAAATGTGCGTCAGAGGACCGTACAAATATAAAACTAGGGTCTCCACAATGACATAGTGTGTGTGTGTGTGTGTGTGTGTGTGTGAGAGAGAGAGAGAGAGAGAGAGAGAGAGAGAGAGAGGGAGTATTAAATAATAATTTATGCTGGTCGGAAATCAGCGGGCTTAAGGCTTCGCTGAACTTGTTAACGGCAACAACGCAGTGCTGCAGGAAAATAAGACCTGACAATTAGCCCATAAACGGGACTTTAAGAGCCCCGGTCTAGAGTTCTGTGTAGAACTACAAGCAGCCACAAGATGGCACCCATTCCAAAAAAGACATAAAGATACTATCTATGAATCCAGCACACAAGGGCAAATCAGTCGTTGCATTCTGTAGTTATATATCATTTCCATGGTGCAGGAGAAACGCATTTTTCCACGTTCGTTTAGGATGTAACGTGCACGGTACACTACAAAACTGAAAATCATAACGCCTCCCCAATCCCTCACCATTCGGCTCAACAGGCAAGTTCATTGTCTCCGTGAAGGACCCGTGTCAGTAACACGCTTCTAGCTGAGACCATTCTTTCAGCGAGATGCTGAGAACAGAATAATGTTTCTTCCAGGGGTATTTCTCAGTATTTCTGGTATAACTATTAATATGCTGCAAGGAACTGTATCATATTGGGTAGGTTAGTTTTCTCCATGCTTCGGCATGTGCG